ATACTAAATAATTATTTGCAAGAATCTGTTTTGTGTATTGCCAATCGTCTTTGTTTTTAGCCCTGTGAAGGCCGTAAACGAACATGTGATTTCTCGGCGCCCTGCAGTCTGCTTCCTTGGACGGCTTGGGCGCCGTGCAACGCGACTTGCGAAACCCGCGAAGGAATCCAGTCGCGCAGACGCTATTTGGCTCGTCCTTCTGAGGCCAACTCTTGTCATCACTTGTTTCGGTCTTCACAAGAGCTGCAGACCCGTGTGCTTACCGAAGAGCGCGCCTGTATGCCGCCACCAGAACAGTGCGATCCCTTGACAGTATGTGCTGAGGGTAGGAAAGACGGTGTCACCTGTGGCGACCCACAGCCGGCCTTCTACTACAGTGCCATGGAACACGCATGTCTGGCCTTCACCTATTTGGGCTGTAAGGGTGGCCGAAACCGGTTCGAGTCGCGCGAGTCTTGCGAGCGAGTCTGTCTGGCTCCAGTTCAAGCGTTGCCGGCATGGCGCCGTGAAAGGATGGCCTTTCTACAGTACAAAACCGCTCAGATGTCCTCGAACGCCAGTGGTGAGGTCGCCAGTGAGAAGCAGCCCAAGTCCTACTGTGGTCTTCCGATGGATGCCGGCGAAGAGTGCCCGGATTCGAGCCAAGGACCTCGCATACAATGGTGAAGATGCTATCCACCATTTTCTCCATTCCTCGTCTCCTGCGATAAGTCGGCATTTGTTGACACTCCCATGTAGTTAGGCGTGAAAGTAACGATAATCCTGTTAACTCTGCGGCCCACATTATCCACATCTTTCTATCACCACTAATCCTATTGGTCTTATAGCAGGCGGAAAAATTCCCAATCGTATGAAGCATAAAAATTAATTTGTTATCTCAAAAACGTATAAGACAATTTCGATAGAATGCTTCCTTTCCTTTGACCAGTCAGCTACAGATTTGTAAATGAGTAGGGTTTCGAGACTACCAGTAAATCAGTGTAATGAGATGTATTCACCCTATTTCGT